AACATATGGAGTATTTTTTCTTGGTTTGAAGAAGGTGACGGGAAAAATGAAGGAAGGACAATCGGCTGGGAGAGATGAAATTGAGAGACAACTTTGAGAAGGAAGGAAATGTCCATGGATAACTTCGCCTTATTGAGGGGAAACTGTATATAAAGGTAGTCATAACGCAAAGCTGCTGAATCACTAGCTCATGGAGCTGAAGTGATAGCTACAAGAAAAGCTGTCGAGGTTGTTGGAATGGTTGCTCAATAGAAAGGCTGGTATGGGAATGCCACCACTGAAGTTGAGAGGCCAATTCTGGAGTGACTCTTAGGAGAATGTGAGGAGAGTGTTAGTGGATCGAATAGGGCCAGAAACCAGGATTGGAGAGATCTCATTTTGAGATGCACGATTTGAGAGATCTCATTTTGAGATGCACGACTGGAGAGATCTCATTTTGAGATGCACATGCTCATTTTGAGATGACAACTGATATCATAGAGGCCATGGTGTTTAGAACTTCTTGCACCGTTATGGCAGGTATCAAAGCATGCAGAGTGAAACCGTGAAGTAAGGTGAAGAGGTTCTGTCTCTTTTCTGTAGGGAGGAAAGCACGAGCTTGTGTGGAGTCTACGAGCATGACTATGTACAGTTTTTGTAGGTTTTAATTTTGATTTCTGTTCGTTGACAGTTAAACCAAGATTGCAAAGAAGAGCAAGGGTGAAACAGGTATCTCATCAAGCTTTGTGACGTGAGTGTGCTACAAGGTGCCAGTCGTCGATATATGGAAAGACGAGAATGTTTTGAAGTGTGAGGTAAGCAGCTACTGGTGCCATGCATTTGGTGAATACCCTTGGAACTGTTGCAAGGCCAAATGGGAGCCTTTTGAATTGGTCGACGACAACTTTGTAGAGAAGAGGGAATGGCGGGAAAAGGTAGGTAAGTGTCTTGGGCCAAGGGCTGACAAATGCATCTCCCTGGGAATGTTTGCCTATTCCCGCTCAGAAGTAATACAGTTGGCATTTCTGATTCGTTCGGGAGGCAAAGAAATCAAAAAAATCTATGTGCCCCATTTCCAGCACAGTTGGCAGAATACTGGTCACATGGCCAGTGCGACTTAGACACGGAACGCTGTTACCTTCCCACCGAGGTGGTCCCTATTTGCATTTGCATGCGTTCGAACCGCTAGGTTGGCGGGAGCTGGGACAAGCGACGGGAGCTCACTCCGTCGTGTGGATTCGATCTTACGACTGCTTGGTCTTCTGACCCTGCAGCACAGGCTTCTGCGGTTTAGCCCGCAGCGCCACCACGCCCCTATGACTGTGAACCAGTTGTTTTTTTCAAAGTAAGGGAAGAACTGATTCTAGAGTAACTATACAGAATTTTGTGGTAATGATGTAGTTGTTTAATGATCTTAAATCTAGAGGAAGGTGAAGTCCCCCATCCTTTTTGGGGTTGGTGAAATAGCAAGAGAAAAACCTGCTGTTGTTTTGATAGACAGGTTGTATGGCATCTTTGAGGAATAAATTAGTTATTTCTTCTTGCAGAAGTTGTGATGGAGGAGTGACGATGTGTGTTGCTGGAGGAAGTTCGAAGAAATGGATGCTGTAGCCGTTTTTTATGGTGGAGAGTAATCAGAAATCTGCAGTGATGGATTCCCATGCAGGTAAGTGTTTCCAAAGGGCAGGGTTGGTGGGGTGTGTGGTGATCTTGGTCAGAGGAGCATCAAACATGGTATCTGACTTTTCGGTCATTTTGCCTAGTGACAGGCTGTTGCCGGGGTTTGGTTCTTTGGTTTTTGAAGTATGGATTGTAAGAGGTTTGTCTTGTAGGATGAGTTATAAGATCGTTTCCATTGATTTTCTAGAGGACATTGCTGGTAGGAAGGGCAGACTTCCCAATGTATGGCTGCTGAACATTTATTTTGTACGTTTTCTAGTATATCGTCAGCTTCAGCATAAAAGAGACCTGCTCTTCCATATGTGCCCGAGCATCTTCAGCTAAGCCAGCTGTTCTGAGCCAGAAAAATGGTGTAGGGATACTGAAGTGGCCATGGACTTGCCTATAACGTCTACAGTGTGGCAGGCGGAAAGCATCTATTGTTTGGCAACCTTCTTGTTGGAAGGTTTGAGCTAGTGTCTTTTTATCCTCTGGTAGGGATTCAATAAAGGTGGACATGTGGTAACAGCAGGTCAGTATCGACAATGTCAACTCTGGGGAGACAAGTAATACCGATGGAGTATGCGGTCGAGATCCATGGTCAGAGCCATTGAGGTCACATCTAGTGTCAACGGACAGTTGATCGACTTTGGAGTTGAGAGGCTGAGCTTCATAGTATTGCCAGTTATGAATTGAAATAGATGGAGGCAGCATGTCCATGGACATCTGTCAATGTCGAGGATGATCAACATCAAAATACGGTGGTTGAGTGCCGATGGACCTTGATTGGTAGGGATGGACCTCGGTGTCAAGCCCAGTGTTGTAACAGTGCCGGGGTTGATGACTTGGATTTATTGGAGGACAGGAACTGTGCTGAGGTAACGGAATGGAGCGAGTGTCCATGGACCAGGATGGATATTGAAGATTGTCGATATCAGAGCCTGTGTCTCTGTGATGTCAAAAGGAAAGCATCTGTTGTTTGACAACCTTCTTGTTGGAAGGTTTGAGCTAGTATCTTTTTATCCTCTGGTAGGGATTCAATAAAGGTGGATATGTTGTCACAGAGGAAGCGTTGGTAAGCTCCTATGGCTCCTTGATAATTAGTGATTCACATGGTGAAGGCTGTGGAAGAGTAAAGCCATCTACCCATGGAGTCTATTTGTCGACTGTCCTTATTTGGTGATATGAGAGATTGTTGGAGCTGGTTGTTTCTGAAGGAAAATGGCTCCTGGGCCATGGATTCTGTATATTATCAGTATTTTTCATTTACTTTAAACTTGTGTCTACAGACTATTTATTTAACAAAGATATGTTCTGGAACCTACAGGAAGCTATTTTCAAGACTGACTTGCATTAATGCTGTGCTCTACTTCTTTCCTGTATCTTTACTTGCAATGCTTGGGTATCACCCCTGCAATTCTGGACTTGAAGCACATACTGATATTGTAAAGGTAACCAAATATTTAGAGAGTCCACTCTAATACTGTACCTCACTTGCTGGAATAAGTGCTCATGACAGACACTAACTGTGAGGATGGCAATATTATTTAATTGAATGGAGATCTTCAATCAAAAAATCAGTACACCATGGAAAAATGCAGAAATACTTGAGTCTATTAATTCACATGGAGTGTTTCACATCTTCAGTTTACACATAACAAGTACCAGTAGTATTGCCAGTTATGAATTGAAATAGGTGGGGGCGGTATGTCCATGGACATCTGTCACTGTCGAGAATGATCGACATCAAAATATGGTGGTTGAGTGTCGATGGACCTCGACTGGTAGAGATGGACCTCGGTGTCGAGCCCAGTGTCGTAACAGTGCCGGGGTTGATGACTTGGATTTATTGAAGGGCAGGAACTGTGCTGAGGTAACAGAATGGAGCGTGTGTCCATGGACCAGGATGGATATTGAAGATCATCGATATCAGAGCCTGTGTCTCTGTGATGTCAAAACGGAGGTTTCTGATGCGATGGCATAGTTGTAGAATAAACGGATGCTGGCAATGTTGAGCATGAAGAATGATTTCTGTCATCTATTCTAGTAGGAAATTATCAGGAGGCTGGGGCTTCAAAAGCCTCACGTGTGGAAGAAATCTGCTCGACTGTTCTAGGTTTTATGGATACCAAGTGAGGAGCAGGATGAGGTATAGAAATATCTCAGCGATGTAGCCACTTCAACACTGATGGTTGTTGAGAGGTAAGCTGACTGCTAGATGGTATTATCGGACCGGGTAAAACACCCGGTCGACTAGTCAGTGCCATTTGTTGAACAGAGCACTGGTCGGGGCAAATGGCAACCCGATGCACGTGCTGAGTGTGGGTTTGAACCACACATATTGAAGCAAGCTGTCGAGATTATTGATGTCAATGGTTCTGGTTAGGGATCGATGGGCGATCCAAGGGCATCAAATATGGAACGGTGTCTAGCTGTTCGGCATGGGGATCCTCGGGTGATGGAATAACTGAAGGATTGCTGGAAGGAATAGAAGGTTGAGAACTGGGAGGAGAGGACGTTAGTCGATCATTCCATTCTGGAGACTGAGAACAGGGTTGATTGGATGGAACTCCGTCGTCATCTGAGGGTGATCCAACCGAAATTGATTCAGAGAGTTGTGGTTTTGGTGGGATGGCTGCAGGCTTAGACTGTTTAGCTCATTTCGGAGGAGCAGGCTCTGGAGCTGGAGCAGCTTCACAAGGTCTCTGACGTTTAGAAGTTGTTTTCAACATCGAGGGCTTCGGTATCAAGGATTTTGATTTTGTGTGTCTTCAAGGTCTTAAGACGATGCAGATGGAAAATTGGAGTGAGCTCGTGTAGCCAATGGTCATTGTTTCGATGATTCAGCAACAGCTTTTTCCATGGCTTTGGTTTGGGAAGTGGCCCTACAGGGAGGTTGGGCCATTTGAACTGGTTGTAAGAATTGTTCCCAAAGTCGGAGTTTTAGCCTACAGAGGCGAGATCAAAGAACTCCGTGCTTAAAATTTTTGCAATAGGTACAGGAGGAAGTTTGATGTTCTTCTCTCAAACTGAAAAGGCACTTAGCGTGTCCATCAGAAAGTGGAATCTTCTTATCACAGACAACACAGTGCTTAAACGGGCCCAAAGGGACCATGAATTAGTAAGAAGCAATAAAGAAAAACGAATTGGATCGGGGGGGGGAGCGGCTGAAAGGCCGATAGTCTAAAGTAAAAATATTATACTTGTTTAGCTGTACAATTGTATTAAAAGAAAATGAAATAAAAAGAATATTTTTCACTTTACCCACAGAAGTAGAAACGGAGAAAGAGGCTCTCAAGGCAGCGGTTGAAAGAAACTGAAAGGGGACACTTGACACCAACATACTTATACAGGTGGGGATGGCTTATTCTAATGTGTTTATTGCTACCACAGAAGCTCTAGAATCTTCCAATGAGGATCCGCGCAGGCGCAAAACACCCAGTGTGTGATTCACAGAGGCCACGAAGAAGAGCAACCCCTTCTTGGGAAGCTCTCCTTGGCTTTAAATACATCACCCACAGGTGGGAGCTGAACATGCCTTATCCAACCAAAGCCCAGGCTGAGAATGTTGTATCATGTCTTGGTGTTGAGGCCTTCATTGTCATTTACCCACAAAGCTTGCCTCTACTTTTCAAACAGCTGCTGACTACGATTTCATGCTGGGCTATACACATTTACTCTGGATGGAACAGGATTTTTGTCCTCCTCCTGCTGATATAGAAAGATACATCCTCATGCCTTTTGCAGCTAGGTAAAGGTTCCCCTTGACAATTAAGTCGGAAAGATACATCCTCTTGCCTTTTGCAGCTAGGTAAAGGTTCCTCTTGACAATTAAGTCCTGTCATGTCTGACTCTAGGGGCCAGCGCTTATCCCCATTGGTAAGCTGAAGAGGCAACATTTGTCTGTAGACACTTTCCGTGGTCATATGGCCAGCATGACTAGACATGGAATGCTGTTACCTTCCCACCAGGGTGGTACCTATTTACTGTATCTACTTGCATTTGCATGCTTTTGAAATGCTAGGCTGGCAGGAGCTGGGACAAGCAACGGGAGCTCACTCCATCATGCGGATTCAAACTGTTGACCTTTTGATCAACAGCCCAGCAGCTCAGTGATTTAACCTGCAGTGCCACTCACGTCCCTTTTTTGAAGCTAGAACCTTTCTAACTCGAAAGAGCAATAGATGTGACTCAGACTGTCAGGTTAAAAAATAGCCCTCCCCCCCCTTTAGTTGTACCTTGAACTCAGAATCCAGCCAGCATATTGTTCTCCTGTTGTCCATGACTCCACTTCAGCAGAAAGCCTCTCTTCTAACACAGGGAGAACAAGAAAAGGATAAACAGAACCTTTAGAAGTGCAACCTGGAGAAGATGTCACTACATGGACTGCTCCTGTGCCAGTCCATTATGCTTCCTACCCTGATACTCTATTCCATTCCTACTCTCTTCATTTTTTCCCTCCTGGTAGTTGTCACTCTGTGCCCATACCACCAATACATACTCAGTACAGATGTTTCTCCCTTTTAGGAGTTATATTTTTGGTGGAGAGGAACTTGCACAAACCTTTGAGCTTATCCAGGTTTGCAGATATTGCCCCTTATAACTGTACAGTACATGGTGCAGTTTACCTTACATAAAAATTGGAATTCATACTATAGGCAAAATCCTGTTACTTAGCACAAGTACAGTGGGGTCTTGACTTAAGAACGGCTCGAATTAAGAACATTTTGACTTACAAACCACTCTCATAGGAAAATATTGACTTGACTTACATACTTAGATTTGAGTTACGAACTGAAAAAAACCCAAGTGGGAGGCAGGGAAAGTGCAAAATGTGAACTTTCAGTTAACTGTTGGCCAGTGAAAAGGGTGCCTGTCTGCTTCCTCACTCCTCCCAGCATTTAGAGAGTGGATTGGGAGACAGTCTTCAGACTATTCCATTCCTACTCTCTTCATTTTTTCCCTCCTGGTAGTTGTCACTCTGTGCCCATACCACCAATACATACTCAGTACAGATGTTTCTCCCTTTTAGGAGTTATATTTTATTTTATTTTTGGTGGGGAGGAACTTGCATAAATCTTTGAGCTTATCCAGGTTTGCAGATATTGCCCCTTATAATTGTACAGTACGTGGTGCAGTTTACGTTACATAAAAATTGGCATTCATACTATAGGCAAAATCCTGTTACTTAGCACAAGTAAATTGCACTGAGTAAATCAATCAGTCCAACTCCCCCCCCCCGCCAAAAGAAACAGGCACCATGCAAAGATTGACCAAAGGACTTTAGAGTAGACTATTTCAGTGAACAGGTTTTTTGGACAAAACTGCTGGCAAAAAAGAGAACGGTGAGCTCCAAAATCCAATCATAATAAAATTCCATGTAACCAATAAATAAAAATCTAACTGAAACAATAAAATATGTAATTTAAACAGCTAGAGCTAGCTGGCAATTCTCAGAATCACAAACATGCTAAGGGAAACAGTGAAGTTTTCAGTGGTTCATACTGGAAACAGTTTACAGTGACCACGCAGGTCTGTTTATGAGTGCTTATTCCACACTGTCTACATTCCTTTACTTACAGCTGAAAGTGTTTCCAAAACAAGGGGTGATGACACAAACATACTAGTATTGCTGAGTAGCTGAAAACATGGGGGTGGAGGTGGGGGTTAGGAAAGAGCCAAATTAATAGAATGTACCTTTTCCAAAGAGTGGCATTCCTCTTAGTTTTACTTAACCTCAGCTCCACTGCACTCAAACAATCAGGTCCAGCGCCCACTCCCCAAGTTTTTTAAAATGTTGCTCCACCAATCCTCATGTTCCTATGCTACTGAAGAGGAAGGCTGTGTGATACGTCATTCTACCTTTATAGGTGTAGACATCCAGCATCATCCTGCCTCTCCTCTGATTGGTGGTCCACTCCAGCCGAGTAGGAGGAAAGCTCCGGGACACTTCTGGATCGCTTTCCATCTCCTTCATGGACATCAGGAGTTTATGCTGGCACATGCCATTGTATCCCTCCAGCCCAAAATCGGACACAAACCTGGAAACCAACAAGCCATCATATTTCAGTAGACCTCTGCCTTGTGTCAAGAGTGTCAAAAAGCACAAGAGGAGAACCTCTCATCTTACTTTAGAAGGGGCTTCTCCAGAGCAGGAGAAGGTGTGAAGGATCCCAGGAGCACCGCCATCAGCACCCAACCTCGCTGGCCCTGCTCCAGGTCAGGATTCTTCCACACCTGTGTGGCCACCTGACACAGCACTTCATTGCGAAGGGAGGGGCTACCCAGTCCTCGACTCGCTATATAATTCCCCAGAACCTCTTCTTGCCAGCTCTCCAGTTCCTTGTCATTGATGAACCGCAGGATCTATAAGGAAAACATTTGTAAATGTACAAAAAAAAAAAACAAAACCCACAAATGGTTAAGCTTGCATTAGCTGTAGGGTGAAACACCAGGTTGACATGCTTCTCCCATCCCAGTCAACCTCCGGTGCCTAGATTGCAGCCTGTTTCTTTTGAATGCCGGACAGAAATTGATATTTGTATCCTAAGCAGACTGCCTGCCACTTTATATTCATCCAGAATATTTTGTTCTCCTGTATGTACCCAGCTGTCACCGATTATAGTATTTTTCTCTTCAGATGATACAAGGCTACCACTTACAAAGACTGACAAAACCTCCAGCTTTCTAAATTGCTAAACCATCTTTTGTAGCCCGCTTCTGGTTACAAATAGTCTAATTATGATCACATTTTAATTTGTTTTTAATGTTACTTACGTATATTTCATATACGTCCATAATTTTAAATTGCACAACACTCTGATACAAATAAAAAAAGACCCTCTGTAGATAAGCTTTCATTTGTTTGTTTCACTTTGTACAACAGGTAGAGTATCGTAGAAATAGCTGCTTGGGTCAGAAGCTTTCGATTTATTACTAAACTGTTTTTTAAAAGAATAAAAACAAGAATCTCTCCGAGAAGACCATTTCTAAATGGTTTTATCAGGATTTTGAAACACATGTTTTTAATGATAGCAGACTTCCAAAAAGGTTAACAGCAGATGTTCATTGTCAAAGGTTCCCATTGGAAACATTCAGTTTAGTGCTGATCATCATCAACAACGGAAAATATCACTGTAAAGGAATTTCTTCAAAGATTTTGAAGTATTTTTGGAGCATTTTCTTGGGGAAGGACTGATTTCTTAAAGAGAAGAGAAGTGGGGTTTTAAGAACTTGTGTGAGCAGAAATCCCAGTAAGATATTCACTCATTGGGCACTATGCCACACCAACCAGCCCAACGGCAGGAATGAATGAATGCTGTGTCAGGATGTGCCCTTTGCTTCCAAGGAGGAAACCATGGACTACACTGGAGATCCATGTTCAGAATTCCCAAATTTGTTTTTCTAAACAAAGTCATCCGGCTGAATCGATGTGTATGCAAAGCTTCACCATTTAGCTTTGACATTCCAGGGGCTGGAACAGAGGTTACACATCAAAATTCCTTAACTCCCGAAACGCCTTCACTGTCACAGCAGGACCTATATACTTTACATATACTACCAATGTATTTCCCATCTTTTGTGATTGGTCTTCAAGAGCTAAGGTGCTCTTGAAGACCAATCACAGAAGAAGGGAAATACCATAAATGTTACACATCTGTATAAAAGCCTGATTTTGCACACATCAAAGTGTGCCTGAATCATGTGCCTGGAACTCTAAGAACATGTTGTCTATAATGTACACTTTGGCCCTCAGAACCATTTGTACTGTCTATACAGAGAAGCTAACAGTAAGACTTGCTGTGATAAATTAGAGTGCACAAGATGAGAAGTATAACAAATTGCCCAGGCTCATTAGTAGACCATAGCCTGGAAAAAAAATTACTTTTTAAAAGAATTCAGCTTTTAGAATCAAGTAGCCAGCACTGGCCATGAAAAGGTAAGTTTTTGCAGCACTCTGCTGGAGTGTGTCACTTTTCTTGTTTGATAGAAGCACAACGAAAGAATCTATGACAAGCCAAAGTACAAACTGAAGTAAAAAGTGATCTTCCTCCTTTTGAATTTTTTTCCAATAAACAATATCTTTAGGAGATTAATTCTCCAATTAGACAAGTAATAATAATAAAAAAATCCTTCTTCAAGCAATGACCGATAGGTAGGGTTTCCTACAAACCTACAATATGAATCATAAACTTGTTCTTATTGCTATAGCCTTGAGCTTTTCCTTCAGTTTCTTTCCTCTTTAATTACTGCCTATCACATTTATGACACCACACCTATGAAATGACTTCTCCTCTTCTTTGAATCCTTAAATAAGAGTGAAAATGGCTGGACAGAAATACATTACCAGGGTGTTTATGCCCCAAACTGACAGTGAGTGGTTGTGTAATTCCCCAATCACTTCTCGCTTGCAGGGTGCTTGGGCAAAGCTTTACAAACAGTGGAAATCAAGAGTGACAATTCTCCATTAAACAGAGGCAAAGTCTGTGGTCTCTTGACAAGAGAATTAAAGGCAGAAGACAATGAATATTATGAAAACCTGGGCAAATTGAGAAGGAAATCATCTGCTACAATAAACAGGATTTTTCCCCACCTCTGCTTCTAATTATTTGCTGAACTGCAGTGCATAATCTAGCCTCCATGTCTACTGCTTCATGACTCATTTCCCCAATGACTCTGCATACATGGGAAAAAGAGAGGACTGATGGCCAGCAGCCAGTTCACAGCTTTTTGTGGGACTTTCTCTGTGTATGTACAAGAGGACATGTGGCTGAAAAGACATTGTTTGATTGCCAAGCCCTTTGACATTTGATTGTCCACTGAATGGAGGAACAATAAAGGACAACTGGTGGAATCCAGTCTGGGGATACAAAAACTTTCCACAACTTCCATTCCCAATTCCCAGTTTTCTGGGCATTCGCTTGCTGTGGATGGCAGGGTCGGCTAAATTGCTGTTTGAAACAGAATCCATTTTAAAAACCCTTTCGAAACTCAACTATCAGAGGCAGGATTGAAATGCCCGTAGGCACCCCCTGAGCAGTGACTCCCCCTTTGAAGGAACCTTTAATTATTTAGGAAGAAAACATAATCTGTCCCAATTCATGCACACTAATTTTGGTCATTCCCTTCCTCCCTCCTTGTCCCACTTACCAATTTGTTCAGCTGCAGAGCAATCTGCTTCTGCTCAGCATTCAGTCGAGTCAGAGGCTGCTGTAGAGGTTGCCCAAGGGCTGGCATGATCATTTCCTACAAGGGATGAAGGACAGAAATGATACATTTGTAAGCAGGACTTACTCGTCTTTGGGCAATGGTTATGCACTGCCGCCTGTGGTCCTCTCAGAGCTAACTGTGCTCGTTGGTGAACAAGGTGCAAAAGGCCTTTATTTTCCCCACTCATCCATCCCCTCTGAATCAGAGACTGGGCAACTACCTCCCCAGGTGAGTGGAGGAACAGAAACAGCAGCAGACTTGTATGAGTGGGGAACAAATGTTGGATTTGTTTTAATGGTGCGAGAGAACTGTAGGCTTGTCTGATGATCTCCATCTTCCTGCTAGCAACTTCTTACCTGGAAGTGAGACCTCATAAACATAGAGAATGGGAAATTGTTGATGTCAGAGGGCAGAGAGTGATCGGTTTTGGCTTTGACCTCTGGAAGGGAAACTTCTGTAACCTGATGCATCCGGGAACGTTGGTGACCTGAAAAAGAGATGGGACAGGGGAATTAGCTTGCTGCCTCTTATGGTAAATCTGTCAGAGTTAACCAATGCAGTAGTGTATGAAAGGCAGCCTGCCTTAACCACCATTTACGCTGCTGTCCTGGAGACAGCATGGACTTCAACAGATAATATCATAATTTGGATGCTGTAGCACAATGCGTGTAGGAGAGAACAGTCAGCTTCTCCCATGAAGTAAATTTCAATGGACAATATGCTTGTCTGTCTGGATGTAGCACATTATGGTCAGTACCCACCACCTGGACAACTGAGTAGAACAAAATTTAGCCTAGTCTAAGCATGCGGACATAATTACGCCATTGGAGCCACATTACAGAATAAAATTGGATATTTGACGTTTCTGATGAAGCCCAACAAACAAACAATTCTGTTGAGTTTACTGACTTCTCCTCTGGTTGGGTTAGACTGAGTTTCTTACTTTGTTCCAGCTGGCTCATCCTGTTTTGTATATGTTCCTGTTTAATGCTGCAAAATGCTATGCTATTATTCAATAAATACTGGTAACTAATAATTCCAGGGGTCTTTTGTTGTCCAGCTCAAGCGCCCTGGCCTTCCGCTATTGACCCTGTACTTTGGGACTCTGTAGCTTCCACTGCTGAGGTTGCAACAGAGACTATTAGAAATGGAGAAGAAAAGAGAAGAATTAGAATCTATTTGCTTTGAAGCAAAAATCCTTCCTTTGATGGACTACAATCATCATAGGCATCCTTCAGTCTCGAGAGACTATGGTGACATGCTCTGAATTGAGGAGTGTCCTCTCCAGAGCATGAAGCCCGGGTAAGGTAATATGGAGGATAGGCTGTTACCCAAGCAGCAGATCCCCCCTCTCCACATTGCTGAAATGGTCCAATACAACTGGTTCCAGCAATGTCGTAGGAGTTGGCAGAATGACACGAGCTGCCTTCAGGACTCCAGCTCCGGATTTTGCCTCGAGGTTAACTCCTGAAGCCTTTTCCATGAGTGGATATAGCCACAAGGCAGTGGAGGTTTGAAATTGGAGTTTTCCTTCTCCTAGATGGGCTGCCTTCCATGGCTGATGAGCCCCACCTACCCGGCCTGCTCTTTAATAGTGTGGAAGTGTGATCTGACCCTTAAAACTACAGTACAATATCAGCAGTGGATTACATTGCATAATAGAAGGATTTGGGTTGATTCACATCTATCTCCTGATCTTCAGCAACCATGAGAAGTTAAGTTATCTAATACTTTATTCTTTATGGATTCAAGCTTTTTCTTTTTTTATTACATGTATTTAATTATAGTGTTTATTTTATATGTAAATGTTTAGATCTGCTTACTACAGTACAATATCAGCAGTGGATTACATTGCATAATAGAAGGATTTGGGTTGATTCACATCTATCTCCTGATCTTCAGCAACCATGAGAAGTTAAGTTATCTAATACTTTATTCTTTATGGATTCAAGCTTTTTCTTTTTTTATTACATGTATTTAATTATAGTGTTTATTTTATATGTAAATGTTTAGATCTGCTTTTTAAAAATCATTAACTGCATGACTGCTGTGAAGTTTTATGTTACTGCATTACTTCAGGTATAGACTTGACCTGATCTGTACCAGGACTCTGACAGCAGAATTCAAAAGGATTAACAATTAGGCAGCAGCTTCTCTCTGTAGCTAAAGGAAACCTATTGAAACCTAGTCCCTTGAATCCCTTGTAAACTAGATGACATCAGGGCTGCCGCACCCCTGACATTGTCAGATCCAGAGTCAAAATGCCAGCTACACCTTCTGCAGTCAGCACTTGGGCTGCTCCCATTGATAGGAGATAATAGCCAGGATTCCTTTTCATAACCTCTTTAGGAGAAGCTTGGCTGGGAGACTCCCTGTGGTAAAAATCTCTTAATGAATAATACCTACCTGAAAAGTATGAAATATTGTACCTGTCATAACCTAAAATCTACATTCCAGGAGATGATAATTGTATCCCCAGCTATTTTTTTTTTGACAGATCAGTGTTTGAATGCTTTACAAATGCAGTGCCTGGGAAGAGCAGGGACTCGTTTGTGTTAGCAGTTTCTCTGCAGATTTCTTAGTTGACAAAGCAACCTGTATCAGGTAACACCATATTTGAAAAGGCAGAATAAATAACAGCGGAAACGTATGTCTAAACAGCACAGGAAGGTTTTTTAGGCCCTGTTTGGGGGCGTGTGAATGATGAGGAAGACAGAGATTTGGACCTCTCTTTTGGTGGCAAAATGTTTTGCACCAACACTGGGTGGTGTCTTGCTAAGTAATAAACAACACACACACATCATTTATTTTGTGTTTACCATATAGCAGCTGCCTGCATGAAATAGTCATGAGTTTCCCCTAACTTTTTATCATGTCCAGAACAATTCTGGAAGAAGCATAAGAACTCTTCTCTGACCAAGGATATCAAACAGTTTTTCAATCATTTAAAACTGCCTCAGGATGTTTTCAAATGTCTAACACAGTGCTGATAATGAGTAAATAATTAGCCAAAAAGAAAAACGGCACAACACACAGCAAACTTGAAAAACACTTACAGCCTACAGGTGTGGAATCATACCAACAACACAACAAGTCTATCTGGATATCCACAGTCAGAGAATATCGAAAATAAGCAAGCAATCAGAGATTATATATATGCAGTGAGTATTCCCACAGTGATGCTCCCATTTCCTAGCATTAGGCATACAGATATATATACAGTGGGGTCTTGACTTGAGAACTTAATCCGTATTGGAAGGCAGTTCTCAAGTCAAAAAGTTCTCAGGTCAAATCTGCATTTCCCATAGGAATGCATTGAAAACCATTTGATCCGTATCTGCTCTTTTCCGTCCATAGAAATTAATGGGAAGCTGCTATTCCTCCTTTGACCACTAGAGGGGGATATTTTGTTTCTTTTTTTCTTAGGTCAAGAAAGGTTCAGGGAAGGCAGGGAAAATACAGTCCTTGATTTACAGAATTAATCCGTATTGGAACGGTGGCTGCAGGTCAAAAAGTCTGTAGGTCAAGTCTCCATTGAGCTACAGTGCATTGAAAACCGATTAATCCCGTAACAGGTCATTTTTGTTCCATTTTGGTTTTTTTCTGGTCTGTAAGTCAAATCTCAGTCTGCAAGTCAAATCTAAATTTTGCGGCCAGAGAAGTCTGTAACTCAAAAAGTCTGTAAGTCAAGCCGTCTGTGAGTCAAGGGTCCACTGTATTTCAATGTAACAATGTTTTAAAAGTTTTTTTTTCAAAGGAGGTTTCATTAGAAATAAATGCATTTCAGCCCATTAAAGAGATGGCCACTCAGGCGAGGGTTGCGGGTTTAAGTGGAATGTAGGCAGAAGGTCAAAAGCCCTTGACTTACCCTCAGCCAAGCGGAGGAGGGCCGCAAGCTCAGCAGGGATTTCCAACCTTCGAACATCCTATATAAAGAAAAGAATCTGCAATTAGGCAGTTGCTCCTTGTAATTATGAGATCTTTTGGAATTAAAGAGCTTCTACTCCCACAAATCAGTAAGAATTGCTTTCTCTTTTCAGAATGTCACACTTACATGAATTGAAAACAAGACATGCTGCAACAATCCATATCTACCTCAATAAATATAAACTGTAGTCTACTGTTTATAGCATCATCTTCATAACTCCAGTTTAGTTCTATGGTGTTGTCAGCACATAGAAAAACCTATGTACGGAACAGAATGGGCAAAGATAACACGGGATAGATGCTAGTAAACAGAATTATACAGTATTCTGTTTGAGTTGGGATTGCACTTGGCCAAGAGCCGACTTTGGATATTCTGCTCCTTTTTTTGGCCTCTCCCTCCCCTTCTTTAAACAAGATCAATAGATGGCCACTGTAACACATACTGTGGCAATCTTCTGCACACTTTTTACAACAAGAAGCAGGTATTTTAATTGTGTTGTTTTAATTAAGAACCAAGCAGGCCTTCCCAAGGAAAAAATGGACTGTTGTTAAAGACAATGAAATAGCCTATGTCTCTCAGAAGAACCACGAAGCAGGCGGCCATTCAGTTGAAGCCATCCTCTCAGAATCAATAGAGAACAGACAGTTAGGTGAGTTGCCAGTATCACTGCTGGTTACACTGACAAATTATTCTGATTCATCTTGCAATAGGAGGGACTGGATCTGCTATTCTGTACCATCGCTATCACTCTTAGCTTACACCACCAGCCCTGAGTCAGGCGTTATCAGACCCAAAGCAAACCTTCAAGTTTCCCAGTCTTCTAAAAATATTACAAAACTATTCAAAGGTCAGACCAGGTTACCAGGACTGATAGAACAAGGGCAGCTGAGAGCTGTGCCCGTTTATGATGGCAAAGAGTCCCCTGCCACCTTCAAAACAAACAAGTTTTGTTTACTGTAAGCTTTCATGGATTACAGCAGCAGTTCATGGAAGCATATGCCAAATAAAATATGAGTTTAATCTTAAAAGTGCCACAGGCCTCTCCTGTTGTTTCTAAAATTCTTATTTTAAACTAGATAAAATAGGCTACAGGCTGTGGCCCTTGAATGTGGTTATTATAATAGATGTAGTTTACAGAAAAGCTCTGATATCATAAGCCAGGTTTAGCAGTATGGCTGCTTCTCAAAGCTACCTAAGAGCAATGGAGTGAGAAGCAGGAAGGCAGACAAGATCTTCTGGCAGAGGAGAATAAGCTCAGCCTCATTAAAACAACTGCATTAAGACAATAAAAGAACTGCTCCCTGCATTCTAATTTCCATCACACATGAAATTCCAAAGGTTCTTTGACTTTATAAACATTATCAGGCTTTGTCAGATGATACCGTGTGTTTTATTGGCATGACATACCATTTCCAAGTATCTCCTGTGCTCCTCAGCACCTCTGATCAGTGACTCATTTCTCTGCCAGTTGACAAACCTCTGTAATCAGGAAAGGGAGAGAAATCATGCAGGAATGCAAAGTATGTTAATGGACAGCGTTTGAAACCTCTTTCAAAAGAGAGAGAAAAGAAAAAGATCTTAATTCTCTGTTCGTGAAAAACTATGCAAAATGTGCATCCTGCTAGCTCTTATCTCCACATAATTTGCAGATGTAATTTTCCCATCTCTCTGATTTGATTTCCTGACCTTTCTTGTCACTCTTTCAAGTTCCTCATCAGAATCACTCTTTCAAGTTCTTCACCAAAACAAAGTCAGGTTAATATACTTAGGGTGTACTGAGGCAAGCTTGTCTCAGACAGCACTGCATCTAATCCCCTGTTGATTGGTGTTATCTCCTTTGGGCCTCAGAAGTTGAATTGTGGGGGTTCCATCTGTAGAAACTGCCACCGTGATGCTTATTTTCAAAATCCCACCATGTTAGCGGCAAGAAAACAACTATCTCAGACACCAAGGGACAGTGGGATTTCACCCCCACCCACAGCTGAGCTGCTGGAGAAAGCAGATGGAAACCTGCTGGCTTCAGAAGCTGCACAGGCCCCAGGCTGTACACCCAAGACCTACAACTCTGATATGAGAATCATATGTTTTCCTTACTCCAAGGCTTCCGTTTTCACTTAACAATGTCCTGCAAGTATGACAGTATGCAAGCCGTTCTGTCCCATTAATATTATAGTCCATGAAAAGCTCTAGGGCAGGGATCCCCAACCTTGGGCCTCCAAATGTTCTTGGAGTTCAACTCCCAGAAATCCTGGCCAACAGAGGTGGTGGTGAAGGCTTCTGGGAGTTGCAGTCCAAGAACATCTGGAGGCCCAAGGTTGGGGGCCACTGCTCTAGGGCACAAGACTCCCTGTTTAAGAAACCAAACTGGATGGGTTCTAGCTTATCTCTCCCTGAAATACCAGTGTTGAGCAGAGATTTCTTTCTGAAGGAAGAATTCAGCCTTGTGATTCCCTCCACTGGTAGCGTGCCAGTTGAAGGCTGCAGGGCTCCATTTGGTCTTGAGTACATGTAACTGATGGGCGTTGTAGTAAACAGTCCAGTCAACAGTTCCGTCCACTCCATTTACCAGGGAAGAAGTTTAGCTATCGCACACAGAGTTTGGAAAAATGGCATTGTGGGAGTACAATGCCCAGAACTCCCCAGACAGTATGGATTCTCTATTCCTCTCCAAAATCATGTTTTCCAAGCTCTCATCACAGGACAACTTGGTTATACAAAATTTTTACTGTGGATGTAAAGTGACATCCAAAGTTCTGTTTCCCAGTGGAAATAGATCTGCAGGTTAGCTTATGTTTCCAAGGTTCCTACTTTTTGCAGGCTTCCATACTACGCACACTTTGCACTATTCATACAACATGCTCACTCAGGTGATAAACAAAATGAACATAGGTTAGTGACAGAGTCTGCCACAATATCCTGCTACCTCATCCACACATCCTCCTTGTAGTTTATATCATCTGAAGATAACTTTTGGCAACCAGCCTTGAGTATTTTCATTTCTAAGGACAATTTAAAAAAACAAAACAAAGCAAAACAGTATCTCACCAACAGTATTTCTTAAAACAACATTTCTTCTAAGATTAAAAGATCTCCTTGCTAAGTCACTAGAAATGGTGTCCCCTTTAGACAATTCACAGCACAACTCTAAGCAGATCTACTTAGAGGTCTGCACTACTCACCTTATTAAATGGGGCTTACTTCCTAATAAAGATGTTTGTGGTGTTTATATGTGCCATCAAGTGGCATCTGGCTTACAGTAACCCTAACAGAGTTTCCAAAGTATATGAGACACATACAGAGTGGCTTTACCTATATCCCAATGGGTTTCCATGGCGAAGGGTGGGTGGGTGTCTGACACTCTATTCACTAGCTAAAGCATTTAGGGTTGTCATTCCTAGTGTCTTGTTTCCAACAATAGCAGGAATCAGATGCTTCAAGAGGTTTTAATAGCAGGAAGAGGAGACAGGATTAGATCCTGAGCACAATGGAAAACTCTGTTAACATATAATATGGTGAATTACCTGTATTTTATTTTGGATTTATTTAATTTATATCCTGCCTCTCACCCCCAATTGAAACTCAGAGTGGCTCATTAACAAAATGTAAAAAACAGGTACACATTTTTAAAAAACCAGGTACAAAATAAGTTATAATTTTAAAACAGTTAAATTAGACACAATTTATAAAAACACATCAGCTTGCCCAGCCCCTCTGCATTTATAGTCATTTTATTGTTATTATTTATTTATTTAATATCCTACCAATCTCTGCACAAAGATACTTAGGGTGACTTACAAATCACTAAAAAAATCAAAGTGTTAAAACTGCCGAAATACAATGAAGTACAATATTAAACAATAATTAAACATAAATAGTGCAACTACTGTACTGAACAAAAATAATTTAAAACAGTGTATTCCAGGAGATGAAAAAAAATACCCAACTGGATAAATACTGGCCCAAACTTGGCATTCCGTTCCTAAAGCCCACATCACAGGGACATCACAGGGAGAGGCCACCTTAGGTGAGCTTGGGAAGGGAGTTCCATAGCCTGGAAACAGCCTCTAAATAGACTTTGGAGAGTCCACTGTGCTCAGAGAATGGGTTCAACTGTCCTCTTTCTTGTTCAAGATTTTGGAGAGGATGGCTGAAAAGATGTAAACTGGCCCTTGATGCCTACCCCTTCAGCCCCCTCAGAGGGCAAACATACAGACGTGGAAGCCCTTGCCTGCTATCCAGCTTTGTCCTTCCCGTTTGTAGACAAAGCCATTTCCCAAGGAGTGAAACATAGCACAGAGAGTACTGGCTAGAGTACTTCACTAGGATTCAGGAGACCTGTATTCAAATCCCTGCTCAACCATATAACACATATGAAAACTGGGAGCAGCAATACTAAACCACTCCTTGAACATCTCACATATTTTAAAAGCCCTATTAAGGAACCTATAAGCAAGAAGAAGCTTGAGGGCACATAATACCCAAAAGGCGTGGCTTACTTACTTACTTGTTTGTTCGTCTGTGAGTTGTGGGGGCTCCTCTCTTCTTCCTCCCTGAGATCACCTGTGCCTTTACCCGTGAGCGAAGCTAGAAAGAGCTACAGGGGGCTGGGCTGGTCCAAGACAGAAAAGGTGCTAAAGTCCACCCAAGGCAGGGTGGCAAGAGAAAGGAAGGGAGGCTCTGCTATTCTAACAGTGAACTTTGAGACCTTTTATTATTGTAATTTCTTCTGAATGTTCATTAAGTAAATACAGAGAGCAGAGATGGCAAAGCATAAGCAGGACTTTGTGGTGACTTTGTGGGAGAGAAGAGCTATCAGAACTGGGAAAGGCTTTGGAAATAATAATGGAGCAGCCATGAAATGCATGCAGATTTTTCTAGAGAAACATTTAAAAGCACAAAAAAACCCTGGTGGCCACATTAACAAGCTCCTTGTTCCTGCATTACTGGACTGCAAGAAGCATTGCATAGAAAAGGTTGGAAGGCTTTGGCACAGAGGTCCTTTGACTGACTTTGCACCTTCTGATGTGCTGATTGCGACACAAGTGAATAGGCCAGGTTGGGTTCCCCATAATTGCAAATGGGTGAAGTAAGATAACAGACAGCTGATGCTCATGTGCCATGCAATGTGCAGGCCTCATTTAACACACGTGATGACAGCTGGGCAACCTATTCACAGTAGTGTTCTCAACACAAAGGAACGTGATTTTGTTTAATCAGGAGACATTTGACAGAACTGATTGGTTTCTTTTCATTTTCTCATGAATGCTGGTGAGCAACCTGAAAATCTTCAGGACAGTCAGTCACATTAAGTAATGTCCTAGCTAACAGTGATCATGGTATTTGCTTCAGAGCCATAAATAAATGAAGTCATTTGAGCACATAACAAAATCAGAGATGGAAAATAGATCTCTCAAATGCTGTATGTGACCAATGGTGCATACACAGCATGCAATTATCTAGACACACACTATTTTGGTATCTAGAATATTCATATTATTCTGACCAACCTCACACAGCAAGCAGGACCATTTCATCATCTTATCAGTGAGTGTGCTTGACACACATGAGAGTGGTCTTCAGAGTGGCAAATATTCAGCAATTCCAAGAAAAGACTTGCTTCACCAACTATGACTGTTCTTGAATGGGAATTATCAGATAACCTCCAGGACAGGTTACTGTAATGTATTGTTTGTGGTGCTGCCCTTGAAGACAGCCCAGAAGCCACCAGAACACACAGTTCTAGCTCCTGTCCTCCGAAGATGCCGGCCACAGAGACTGGTGAAATGTAAGGAAAAGCAATCTCCAGAACACAGCCAAACAGCCTGAAAAGCCCACAACAACCAACCCAGAAGCTCTTAGCTTGCATAATATACCGTATCTAATATTCTATCTGGTACAGACAGGCAGAACCACATTGCAGGCACTCTAAAGGAGTTACACCGGGTCCTTATTTGCTCTTCAGGTCAATTCAAAGTTCTGGTGTCTACATATAAAAACCTATATCCACAGTCCTACCACCTCAAATCTACCCAATTCATTAAACAATGCATTGAATGGGTCTAGCTAATGATCGGCAATAAATTGAGTTGCTTTCCTTCCATCAGTTCTCCTCTTATCACAAGTGTCTGGAAGTCTCTGACCCAACATAGGACAAGCCAATGGTGATGAAATATTCTTATTTCCTATAGCCACCAACTATCTGTATGCACTTGATGGGGCTGGTCTAAAAATCTCATCCCATCCTTCGTTACTGCAAGAGTTAATTATTACTTGCCTTGCTGCTTCTCAACAAAACCTTAGAGCAGAAAGCATCCTTCTCATGGAGTTCACCAAACTATCAGCAGCACCATTTACCTGGTAGTAATGCCTCCTTCTATGAATCAGTGGCCTAGAGATGAGCATGGCCACCCTGAATTGCACCAAGGTCCTCTTCAGTCTTTGGTAGCGTTTCCTGAAGGTTGCAAAGGAAGGGAAAAGGAAGTCATAAAATAAAGAGAATGCTGTGGGAACATGAAAATCTCTGCTCTGGTGATACTAGTATAGTCACATTGGCAAAGATGTTTTTGGCACATGAAATATTCAGGTCCTAGGGCTACAGAACCACATAAAGATTACATCTGCTACTTTATATTCCATGTACACATTAATAATAATAATTAGGACTTATTTAAACTTTCCAGAAGGCAAAACCTTTCTGGAAAATTAGATTCTTTTCCAAATTGGCTAATGTCTTCAATTAATTGATATTTTATCCCAGATAATCCCAAATCAGTAGTTTATTTTTTAAAAAAAAAATTGGTGGGAAATGCAAAAAAGAGAGATACTGATATATTCATTCACAATCCTGTCCCCAGACAACATTCACAGAGAGTTTTAATTCAAAAGCAAGCCAAGGTCAAATCACAGGGTTTTCCCAGATTCATGTTCCAGTTTCTACCCAGATCCTGCTCCCAAATGTAAGCTAATCATCTTCAGTTCCTTGCTCCATTCATCAATTACCATAATCTCCACACATTATCTTCCAAATAAAAAGAAGTGCTATACAGTTCTAGAGGGCGGGGTGCAAAAAGCTGGGTAGGAAGCAGGAGGTGCCAACAGCGGAAACAGAGGAAAGGGACAAGGAAGAAAATTAGGAATGGGGATAGAAGGGAAGGCAGGACAAGGCAGGCTCTGAAAGTAAGGGAATCAGAAAAAGGGAACCTGGACAGAGAAAGGGAGAGAGGCAGCAGGGCTGTGTCTATGCTGATGGAGCGCTCTTCCCCTTTTCCAGTATTGTAGTTTCTGGGGCTGTCTTTCAGTGTGGTGGAGGTTGTGGTTTCCTCCACAAACCCAACATAGATACTCAAAGGTAGAACTGTAATATTACAATGCAGGGGGACTCACAAGGATCTAGAGGAGTCGTACCACGTCCCTAATCCCCAGACTAGTCTCTAAGACACAGTTCAGATATATGGAGAAAGACTTCTAGTCTTTTTTTGGGGTGGGGGGAACAAACATAATCTTTCCTTTCATGCTTGTTCATCCATGCCTGTCCTTCTGTCAGTGGTTCCTATTCCAAATTCTCAGTATTTTCCCTTTCCCTGCAATTAAGTACATGGAAAGTAACAAGGGGATCTGGGGGCCTGCAATGTGCAGGGACAGGAGGGGTTCACTCTTCCCTTTACACTGCAATCTGCTTTGGAAGCCACTCCCTACAATGTAATTCAGCTGAATGCAATTAAGTACATGGAAAGTAGCAAGGGGATCTGGGGGGCCTGCAGTGTGTAGGGACAGGAGGGGTTCACTCTTCCCTTTGCACTGCAATCTGCTTTGAAAGCCACTCCCTACAATGTAATTCAGCTGATGGGAAAGCATTCCTTTGACAATAGTGAACACTCTGGGCTCTGGGGAACAGATGAAATGCCTGGGGGAAGAGGTTGAAGAATGTGACACTCACCAGCCAAGTCTACCCACTTGTACAAGAACTGAATGAAACTTGATCTTTCAGTTTTGAGAGTAATGTGGCCCATCTAAGCCTCGCAACAGCACTATCTGCTTCACCTTTGCTTTCTGACCTTGCCAGGTGGCCCCGGAAATAAGCCTGAATGACTGTGACCTTCTTCTGGAAGACCTGGAACCGCCTGCGATTAATGAGGCCTCGCAGATTGCGCTGAAGGGTAACAATGGCCCAGCTCAGTTTTTGGTTCCATCGCCTCTCTAACATCCGCCTGGCTTTCTCTTTCAAGAACACCTGAAGAAAAGCAGCATGCAAAAGAAACACATTAAAAAACGGCAAACACAGAAATGTATATATGTTTATCCTAACATTGTGTGTGTGTTCTGCGCCATCAAGTCAGAACCAATTTATAGTAACATTTCGGCATCAGGTCAAAACCTTCCTGTTCCAGGAGGCTTTTAATTGAAATAACATCAACTGTGGGTCCGGATGGCAATTTTTAGAGTATCTATTTTAATTGTATTTTAATCGTTTTATCTTTTATTGTATTTTAATTGTTGTAAGCCGCCCAGAGACCTTTGGGTAGAGTGGGCAGCATATAGCTTGAATAAATAAAATAAATAAAAATAAACCTGAATAGGGCTTTCAAGGTAAGATATTTAAGAAGTGGTTTGTCCAATTCCATGCTCCCAGTGAGTTTCCATGGCCAAACCGGGATTCGAACCCTGTTCTCCAGAGTCCAAGTCCATCACTCTATCCGCTACACCACACTGGAAATCCTGACATTACCTACCCCAAATGTTCATCACAAAAAAATGGCCAAAGAAATGCTTAAAACCATTTAAGCATTTTGATTACCCCTGGCTTGGAAATACTGGATTCTGAAGGTTTGTGGGAACAGCAGTGTTAAAAAAGAAAGAAAGAAAGAAAGAAAGAAAGAAAGAAAGAAAGAAAGAAAGAAAGAAAGAAAGAAAGAAAGAAAGAACTTTGCCAAGCCTGGCTGGAAGGTCTCGTTTACTTGTCTTTTTATCATAGCTAGATTGGCTCTAAACATATGGGGCTCCCATCTAACTTGGCAATGGGGAAAAGAGCAACGGTCCAATACAAGCCCTGTGAGCTGGACAATATCAATGGATGGCCTTAGAGAAGATGCAGGGCAGGCAAAATGTAGACCAGACACACCACCTTGCTGGCTCCAATCTGATAGAGATCCGACAGGTCTCCCACCGCACGTGAAAGCACTGCAGCGCAGCCCTCTCTCTCAGGCAAGCCACTCTGTCCTCGGCCAGCCAGGACTCCATACCTAATGAGCAGAAAGGAGATGAGCAGCCCTCTGCCAGCACTACTGCAGCACCACAGGGAATGAAATAAACCTTGGGGCTTTAAGGGTTAGGGGCAAAATGTGTATTTTGTTATCTAGGGGCCACCTCTGGAAACTTTTCTTCTAGCTGAAAATCTCTGCAGCAGGCATGGGTGCTCTTCCACCACCGCTCCCTAAACCTAACCCTTTGTCAACTTACCCAAGATGCTGAGAAACAGCCTGCAGCTGCAGTCCAAGGTCACCTGAAGAGCTGCATGTGGGGATTAGCCAATGGGTGCCCCGTTCCAAGAGCAGACAATGTGAACGTATTTTCTGCAATACCCTCCTCATAACAGACCCTCTGCTCTCCGAAATCAGAGAAACTCCCCTGCAAACTCTCCCGTGAAGTATAATCAATTGCTATACCTTTTTGGATCATCAGTATAGTTTGAAATGAATTACTCCTCGAAAACCACCTGTGTATTTTTAAATCTTTTAAAAATCTAAAGTGATGCAGTCACTGTTTTATTGCCTTGACTGTTTAGTTTAGCATGTTTAACTTAACTATAATTATCGCCTCTTAAATGGTGTTTTACGGGTGTGCATGTTGTTTTATGATATTGCACTGAAACATGTGAGGTAAGCAACAGCTTCACCTGATTAGAAAATGGCGGAATGGGATGCGGATTGGGTAGCCTTCTTTCCTGAGGCATATGGCCTCCAAAATCGCAGAATGTCTTAGCTGAGAAGACACATACTCCGTATCAAAGACGTCTGGCACCTGAAGTTCAAAGGAATGAGCTGTTCAGTGAAGCATGGAAGGAGGATGCATTTCCAAGCACAGAAAATAAAAATAGGAACTCTGACAAAATTACCACCACCAGGGGCCAAAGAACACTAAAGGGCTAGCTCCCTGCACCCCATGTTTCATGTATCACCACAAGTAGCTTTCGTTGGGCCAGCCTGAGCCCATGTAGAAGAAAGGTGGGCCAGTTCAGGCAGAGCCCAAATGAGGTTCCTCAGAACACCCATCTTTACCCCAACACTGTGTATATATATATATGTGTGTGTGTGTGTGTGTGTGTGTGTGTGTGTGTGTGTGTGTGTGTGTGTGTGTGTGTGTGTGTGTGTGTGTGTGTGTGTGTGTGTGTGTGTGTGTGTGTGTGTGTGCGTATTTGTATTTTTATTACTCAGAAAGTCTACCAGTTTCCTCAAGGGGGCAAGGGAGGCACTTTTGCCTTATTTTGCCTTCCCAACATCTCAGCTCCACACCCACCCAGTTTCAGAACCTTTCTTACCTTCTTGGAATTAGGCTTGAGGCACCGGACAAAGAAAATGTGGCTCCTATAAATTACATAAAAAAGGAATTAATAATTTAAAAATCACCAAACTCTCTTGAGCTCTGACACAGACTGACAAAGGAAGGCTGCAATAGCTGAGGCTCAGCCCTGGACTCCTTTTTTTCGGCCTCTGAACACCCATCTGCCACAGCCCTGCAGAAGCAATGATTTGTAAGTGATGCTGGGAGATCAGAGTAAGGCAGTGGTCCCAAAACGTTTCCCCCTCACGGCTCCCTTGACTTACTTGTGCCTTCCCAATATGATACTTTGGGCGGAGGAGAAAAAAATGGAAGCATGACTCAAGCCAGGCTTCCCCCTCCTGTCTCCTTCCTCACCCAAAGTATTTTATTGTGGTGTCATGGCCGGTAGCCAGTAACTCAAGGGGGCTGTGAGTTGAAAAAGCTTGGGAACTACCACTCAAATCATCTAGACTTTTTTCCCCTTCCTGTTTCCTTACTAGCATCCTCCTCCTTTCCTTCTGGACTCCTCCCACCACCCAAACGCATGAAATTAAGGTGAAACCAGATAGGACAAGTCCTTAGACATTAGAAATCACTTTCCTTGTATTTATGTTGCTGACTGTAACCTCGCGTTCTGACTAATGGGTCTGATCCTTGTCATGTGGAATATCACAGTGGGGATGGATTTCCAATCTCCTTAGTAAAGCCACTGCACAAGCTGTGCTAATCCTCTAGGAAATGGACAGGAAGAAGAACTGGCAGGGTAGTGAGACAAATGGCATCCCAGTCATATTTCCAACACAATGCCAGAGGAGGCCATATTGCCCACTGGATCCTGTCAGTTCCAGGCAGCTAATAATGAAGGCTAATGGGAGACCCGGCCTCATACTGTTGCTTGGTCAGTAGGTGATGGTGCCTTCTGGCCATTTACTTTAACTTTCCAATGGAGAAGCTGTGGCAATTAGTCGCCTCTTAAATTCAGTTCTTGAGGTGGCTCTCTGAAGTTTTAATACCAAACATACTGTAGTTCCGTCAAAGTTATGACACTTGGGGCCAACCTAAAGAATGATGGCAGATTCTAGGTAAACTGCTTGAAGTTGAATTAATCTCTTTTCAGTGTGAGATGTTGGCCAGACAATATGCTAATGGAACTAAACTGAATCTATGAGTTAATCCAGTACAGTTGGCACATTCTTGGAAACTAAGCTCCCTTAAGAGATAAGAGATGGCTGCTTATTCTCCTGTGGGCTTTCCTCCCCTTTGCCTATTACTAATTAACTTGCTTTTGTTCTGCGAGGTATAGGTGTTATCTGCAAGTCTGATTGCTCTGGCACATAACTTTGAAAGGGATGTTTGCTATCAGTTTCTAGATCAGGGTCCTCAAACATGCAGCCCGGGGCCATTTGTGACCCGCCAGACAATAGTTTGTGGCCCCCACCTTGCCTGCCCCCCCTGAAGCACCCACGCGTCCTCTGCTGTCAAGAATCAAAAAAATCCTTGCCTCTCTTGCCGGCTCTCTCCCAAGACAGCGCCTCTTGCACCCTCCCTCTGGAACTGCAGCCTGCCAGCCAGGAGACAGGTGAGAGCTGCCGAGCAAGGTGAGGCTTTTTTTGACTCTTGACAGCAGAGGGCGCGTGGGCCACAAACTATCAGGCGCACTGCTGGCCCTTTTCCCTGAGCGGCCAAGTCACCACCAAGCGGAGTTTGCTCCAAGCCCATCCTCAAAGAGCACCTCCAAGCCGCCAACAGCCGCTGCCACCGCCTCTTCCAGGGAAACGGCTCTCTGGCTCTCTTTCTCTCTCGGCACCCCCAGCACCAGCCCGGCCAGCAGCCGTCTCAGCACCCAGCAATGCCTCCTACTACTACTACTCTTTGTCCTGCTTCAGCTGCCTCAGCTCTGGAGGCTGCCTGGGCTCACCTCACAAAGTTTGCTCCTCTGTCGTGGTGGGAGTAGCTGCTGCTGCTGCTGAGTGCGCCTTTTTTTGAGGGGGGGCCTTCAGAGGAAGGTTGCCCAACCTCTGTGTGTGTGCCTGCACATGCGCACCTGTGGCGGGGGGCACCCCATTCTGTTTAATTTCGCGGGTACCAGTGGGGGCTTGGTTGTGGCCGGCGACAAGGGCTCGCACGCCCCTCCTCCTCCTTGGAGCCCCAGCGAGGCTAAGGAAACTCCTGGGCGGCTTCCTTGGGCTTTTGCTCTGCTTGGCAGAAAATCTGATGCGGCCCAGCCTCACCCAGATTTGCCTCCACCAGCCCCCAGATAAATTGAGTTTGAGACCCCTGTTCTAGATACAAAGTAGACATCTCACCCAGTTTGACCTGACCTCTCTGGAAACAGGAAGCTGATGCACTGATGATCTTCCAAATCCTCATTCCACTCTTCAATGTTCTCTCCCCTGACCCTCACACATTCCAAAGGCAGATATAGTGGCTGCATTATAAGACAGCTATCAAAAATGGTAGAGGCATGGCTGCATTCTCTCACCTGTCTAGCTGACCAGTGAGATCTTGCAAGGATTCCTGGAATCTAGATACTAAGGTAGAATTTTGATGTTTCAGTCCTTGCCGTCTGGTACCTGGCCCTCTCTGTTCAGTCTGCTGTTCCTTGAATCTCTGGAAAAGGCTGGACACTAGCTTCAGAAGAGAAGAAGGACAAAAGAAATCCATAAAGTTTCACTGTCATCTTGGAGTATTTAGCATATGACTCTCATTTCAGTGGGCTAACTGCTCTGGGTTTCAGACCAAACTTTAAAGGAGCTATCCAAGATGCCGAACTATTCTGAGGCACCTTGAACAACGCATATAAAGTTCAGAGTAAAGTTAAAGAAGATTCATTGCCTCATTGATATCATAGCCACCAACTTTCACTGGTTACCAAGCAGAGGCACCAGTAGCTAGAATACAGTGGAAAGCAACAGGCATTTCCATACTCCTCCAATATACTGATTCCACATAAGGTTCCACTCCATATATGGTATCCTCGAACAGAATGGATGTGCTCTCACAAGGTCCCATTTTTATCGAAATTTGATCAGGAAATCTATGCTGTAGATGGCACACTGGAAGTATTTCTTTTACTTAGGAATGCAAAGGATACTCACTCACTAAATTCCTTGCTTCTGTCATTTTAGGATGTTTCAGCATGACAATACATATGCGTCTGGGTTACTTTGTTTCTCTAGCATGTATTTGAAACATAATAATGAACATAAACAACTTAACGTACCTTGAGATGGCTGTGGGAGAAAATTTCCAGGACTTCCGGGCGTAACTGGTCTTGGTTTTTATTAAGAAATTTGTGCACCTGTAAAACCAAATTCTACATCACTCAGATTTATTTTTAAGAATATGTCTTGAGATCAAATGAGGTAAATTTACACACCCCACGCCTTGCCTTTCATGAAGGACACTCATCTTTGTCCACCCAACATTTCAAACTGTGCTCCCATGAGTTCCTCCACACACCTGAGCACAGGACAAACCTCCAAAGCAGGTTATGTTTGAGGGAGCACACCTCTGTGCATCTACCTGGTAAGTCACTGGTCCTGCATGATGTAGCACAGTGAAAACAGGCAGAGGCAGCTTGGGCTTGAGATAGCAAGGACTGTTTCCGTGGTGGTAATGGCACTTCTGCAGGAAAGTGTGGTCTGTGGCCTGCTTCGGAGAGGACAAAAAAACTTTATGGACACCAAAATAATGTTGAAAACCCAGCACCATTAGGGACAGGTAGAAAAAGGGTCCCTTTTTCTACATGTTCCACAAATCCACAAATGATCCCAATGCGCTTCTCACGATCTTTCAATGTGACAGAAACATGAAACTACATGACAGATTTGTACTGGTAGATCCTAATCTACTGTAGGTTGTTCAAGGGAGGATGATTAATCCTCTTTTCTGTTTTCTCTCTTTCTTTTTTAAGGAACAGGAAGGTATGTACTCTTATGCTGGAAAAAAGATTATGTAGCTCTTAGAAAGGTAACACACACATACGCACGCACAGAAAAACTTCCATGAGGGAGTAAGTAAGTAAGTGTGTGTGTGTGAGCGAGTGAGTGAGTGAGTGAGAGAGGGAGAGAGGGAGGGAGAGGGAGAGAGAGAGAGGCTTAAGGCATGAAAGCAAAAGAAGTGGCAGCCTTGTTGGTGTTCATTATTTTATTTTTCTGACAGTGTCACACAAACATGCTACCACTATACTGTCAGGCCAACTCGGTCAGTCAGTCTGCAAACCAGCCTGCTGACAGATGCCTATCTGGCACCCTTTTGGGTCACTGTCAGGGCTATTCCCCCCCTTTGTTTGGTGCAGGTAGGACCCCTCTGTTTTGGTTTGGCTCCGGCGTGTGTCATCACTGGGATCCAACCAAAGCAGATGGCTGGTTATCCCTTTGCTGAAGCTGTTCAATGATCTTGGAAAATGGGAAGCTTCCTTGCCTGGCTTGTGGAGGGGAAGGGAGGGGAAGTTTCCATTTCTTTTTAATGTTGCTAATACCGCAGCAAAGCTTTGAAAGGGCTTTTTAAAAGCAGCACTGATATGCTGTGTCAGTTAGCAACCATTAAAAAGAAATGGGAAAAAACTTCCTCTTCCTTCCTTGGGCCAGGCAAGCATCAAGGAAATGTCCCAATCCTCAAGACCGTTAAGCGCCTTAGGCAAAGCACAGAAGAGCAGAAGGGAAGGGGAATTTTGTTTTTTGTTTGTCTTCTTTTTCTTTAAAGGGAAAGAAGATCCATCCAGAGTGTGCTTAACAGGGTCGCTGGAGGTGCAGCATGATTGATCCTTGTATATGGATGCAGGCATGGGCCCAAGTGACTACCTGCACCTCCAAGTGAACCTGTTTAGCTTAATTTAAAACTGATCTAGGATTACCGAACCATTTAATTGCACTCACAGTTTCAGTATCTGGGAGGGAATGGGGAGCTGCATTTTTCAGCAAAGGGAGACTACTATTTGCATTCTAGGGGAGGATAATGGCTTCTACGTAACAGAAGCATTTTCTGAAGGACAGACACTGAAACTGAATCTTTTGCAAAATCTGAATAAGAGCTGAGCATTTACTATTCTAATTGTAATGAAAGGCAGTCCAGAAAGACCCTAAGTTCTGTGAAGCCTTTGAAGTCAACATAAAAGCTTAAAAAGAGTGGCTGAAGTTGTTGCCTTTTCTTCATAGCAACTCTAAGCATCACAATGAATGCTACAGACATGATTGTTAGAAGCTGATAATGATGAGCATGAGTAATCAAATATGCAAAAGAGTCATTTCAAACACTGAAAGCATTGCCACTAGATTTGCTAAGTAGGTAGAGTAAAGGATGCCTAGGTAGCATTTGATGCAGTAGAAGTAGTCTACGTAGGTACAGTAAAGGTTGTCTAAAGGATCGGCTTCACTATGCTTTAGGTGCATATTACCTGGCATTTCATTAGGAAGGCAAACATATACACCCTCACCTTTGAGTGGTTCTGGCCCCTAGATACATGTCCAAAACCATCTGTTACATATACATTGAGTCTTGGGCTTAGCTTTCTCTTGGGCAAGCACTCAGATTTGCACACAAAACTATAAGGTGTAAGAGTACAGTAACTTGTTTCCAAGTTGTAAATCATGCCATCAAGCCTGCCCCACACACTCACTGTGGCTGCACCATTTCTTTCTGGAGGGTGATAAAACATCCAGGGAAGCTGTCACAAATCATTCACAGACTTGTCAAATTAGTGTTTATCTATATTCTGAGGATTATAATTAAACGGATAGCCTTCTCAAGCTCTGGCAAAAAATACTTTGCACCACCCTATGTAAGTACAGAAGCAACCCTTGACCTGCATCAGTGACGTCTGATCCTCCAGGACATGCAGGATCCCATAGGGCTTTGCCGCTATCAGGTCCAGGCAGGAAGGGTCCACAGCCATCTTCAACATAGGGCTCCACCGTAGGCCTTCTTGCACATACTCCTCCTAGCAGCCAGAGATATTCCAAATGAAATCCAACAGCCATGATATAAAATACCAATAACCCTAGAATGAGCCGGTGAACTATTTTTTTTAATCAATGGTTTGGTGCTCCCTCACCACTGCACAGACAAAAGCACTGCTTTTGGATAAACATCTGCATTCAGTGTGAAGGGGGAGGATGAAGAGACACATACAGAATGCACACATGTGGTTTACCCCAGCCAGCAGCATCCAACCATGAAGAGAGAATTCTCATCTCAGACTGGCCAACATACCCAGGGCTTGTCCTCACCCATCTATATGTTGGTATCCAAGGAGCAACAATACCGAGCTTTCTCCATTCAATGCGAAGTTATGGGCAAGTGCTGCTAGACTACAGATGTAATCGGACGGCAGCTCCTGACCTCCCTAGACAGCAGAGTCAATGGCAGCAACATCTGTTGTCGGCCTCCTCATTTTGCATTCCTAGACAATTGTGTACTCGCTAGGGCTGACTTAAGACATTTTACTGCCTGAGACAAAAGGAGAAAAGGGGCCCTCTCTCCCATTTCACTTGAAAAACAGTGAGACTGCCATATAAACCTTCCTTTAGAACTGGTCCTGGGATAGCACCCTCTACCACACCTGAGGGCAGCAGGCCATTTCAGGGAGGACAGTGTGTGGCACATCCAGTTCAGTCCTACAACAGAGGAAATGGCTCAGGAGCAGAAGAAGAATAGCTCAGCAACTACAGTACTGATACTGTCCTTCTCATGGACGGCTTGAATCAGCTGCCTCCTTCTGCCTAATGGCAGAGCTGGCATCCCGAGCAACCCCACAGGGGCCTGGCATTCTCTTTTACCTCTTCTTGGGCGATGACTCTCTGACTGAAGAAGTGTTGGAGATGCTCATTGCCAAAGTTAATGCACAGCTGCTCCAGACTGTTTACCCCAAGATCCTGCAGATGACATAGAAGGGTCCCAATCCTCAAGACCGTTAAGCGCCTTAGGCAAAGCACAGAAGAGCAGAAGGGAAGGGGAATCACTTCGGATTCAAAAGCCAGCAAGGAAAGGGGCAGATGCTGTGCATGAAGAAAGCCAAGAGACCCTGCTGGCTCTAGCTTATATTTTAGTTACTGGGATGAAGTGGGAAACCAAAACCAAGGGAACCCTCTTCATTCTTTTCCCTTGTACCTTGCCTAGATCTCTACCAAAGGGAGAAGTAAGACAGAAGGTGGCCGAGGTGAGGGTGACAGCTTATGTCATCCAAACCATGAGGAAGTCATTTATGTTGAATGGAACCAGACACAGGGTTACATTTATGGTGCTTTAGCCTTCTCCATTTTGTATAAGGAAGCTGCAGCTTGCCCTCATTGGAATAAAGGAGTGTTCTACTCATCCTACAAGGGTGGAGGTAATGCTACTAAAGTGCTTTGGCTTGTTTACTGGAAATTAGGAGAAGCTATAAAAGCCTGGGGCTTTCCCACAGGATACTGTGTTCTGTATTTTGGGCTGTTGAGAAAGGTTAAGGAAATTTTTATCAATAAAAGTTTTCATAAGAAAAATTAATGGATCAGGTTTGGTAAGTTGTAAATTTTTTAAAAAAACCAAATATATGAAAGCCATGACAAAAAGAATCAGTATTTAATCTATTTTAATTGGATGCTCAATCAGTGCTTTCTATGTCTAATGGCCCCCTGCAAAACACAGATTATTGTAATATCAAAATGCTTGCTAATTATTCATCAAATACATTACTGATTATCTCTTTGTTAAATTTGTACCTTGCCTTTCCTTCAGTAAGCTCAAGACTTCCCTTCTCTCTTTTCCCCCACAACAACACTACCAGGAATGTCAAGACCACACAGTGAGTTACATGGTTCAGTGGGAACTTAAAAGCAGAATCTGCTAAGACTGCCTGAATCCAACCACTATTACAATCTTATGGTTCACTGGCTGTTTTGGACTTCACCTCTCAGAAGGCTCAATGGTAAGGGATCCTGGGAGCTGACATCCAATATAGCTAAATGACCCAAAAAATGAAAGCCACTTCCATCTTATGTTAACAAACCAACTTCCCTTTGTGTATTAACTGCATCTTCACCTGGTCATGTGTAGGGATGGGACTTTTGTATTTAATGAACTTCCACCCCCATAATTGAGTGGGAACTCTTGAGGCCAAATGATGGGATTAAAAACCTCACAGCAGCATCAGATAGAACTGACCTTTTATCTGCATTTAATTCCCTCACCCAAGGGTTCTGGAGTCAGCTGGGAGGAAAGCACCCTGCTGTGGTGTGAGAATCACCAGACCCCCTGAGGCTTGCAAAGCCCCACGGCAGAGTGAGTTCTGATAAAGGCTTTTGGTAGAAGTTGATTAAATATGAAAGTCCCATTAGTAGTCATGGGAACACATATAGGTAACCTCTGTTGGAATCTGCCCTCCCATAAAGCTTTGAAACGCCACACTGCTGTCTTTGACCCTAATATGGTAAATAGGAAAGCAATTCGCACTGCATACACCTGGGAGGCAGGAAAGTTTAGCACTGCGTACACCTGGGAGGCAGGAAAGTTTTAAGGGTTGAATCATACTTCCCCACTATTAGAGAGCAGCCAGGTTGGTGGGGCTCGTCAGCCATGGAAAGCAGCTCATCTAGGAGAAGGAAAACTGTGCTTTCAAACCTCCACTGCCTTGTGGCTATATCCACTGATGGAAAAGGCTTCAGGAGTTAACCTAGAGGCAAAATCTGGAGCTGGAGTCCCAAAGGCAGTTCCTGTCTTTCTGCCAACTCCTGCGACGTTGCTGGAAACAGTTGTATTGGCTCTTGCCTTTCCATTGAACCATTTCAGCAACATGGAGAGGGGGGATTTGCTGCTTGGGTAACAGCCTATCCTCCATACTACTTTACCTAGGCTTCATGCTCTGGAGAGGACACCTCTCGATGCAGAGCATGTTACTATAGTCTCTCGAGACTGAAGGATGCCTATGGAATGGAGGAACGGGTGAGGGAAGTGAGTGCAGGCTGTTCTACCACATGCCACTATGAGGCTTTTACTCTCATAATTCAGCCTGGGGAGCTCCAGCCACATTTTGGGGGGTGGAAGACCATTATATACAAAAGTTCCATCCACAGTCTTGAGGGATATGTATAAATACAGAGGACATGTATTTCCAGTCCTTGTGTCTGAAGAAGTAGATTTTGATCTACAAAAGCTCACACTGAAACAAATGTGTTAGTATTTAAAGCGCTCTAGTATTTTGTTTTCCTCCTTTCTTTCTTTTCCTTTTTCTATTCCCTCTTTAATTTTGACACCACCACCAAACTGACTGGTCATGTCCAGGAAACCTTTACAGAGCAGGGGGAAAAAGATGATCTGCTTACATATTTTTGCTAGCAATTCCAAGTATCAGAATCCACACTAACAAGAACACAGATCAAACACACAAGCTACTCCAAATCACACCATAAAGTGAACAAAGGAAGTGACCTCAAAGCCATGTATGTCTAAAATGCCAACAGTACTGTCCATCTCCAATGGAGCCATCCACTCGTTGACTTTCATAAGCAGCCAATCAAAGAGCAAGGAATACAGAATCTTGGCTATAGCATCCCTGAGAATGGAGAGTGGGAGGAAGAGAAAGAGAAAGAGAGAGATTATTATGTGGATGAAAAGCCTGAAATAATATCAAGGTAAAAGCAGTGGAGGTTACCTGGCATCTATCGCACTTTCTACTGACAATGGGGTGAATATCCGGTCATAACAAGTTTCCTGGGGGGAAAGAAGGATCAGATAGTGAAACCAGCAAGAATTTATACATATATATAATTTACACACACACACACACACACACAGGACAATGGGGTGAATATCCGGTCATAAGAAGTTTCCTGAGAGGAAAGAAGGATCAGATAGTGAAACCGGCAAGAATGCATATATATGCAGAGAGAAGCTTCTGAGCCACAGTAATTGTATCATATAACAAAGATTACAGATTAGAAGGCCATGGCTGACTAAAATTCTAGTTGGCTGACAAAAGTTCTAGCACTAATATATTTCACTTCATCTCTGCTCCTTCAAAAGCACATGTTCAGGTTTGTCCCCATGAACCGATACAAACTGTACTGCCATGAAAGACTTGTTTCCCTTTGTTCAACTGGTTTTGGAGGTTACTCAGGAATCACATTATGTAAAATGAAAGGTCTAAATCAGAAATGTTTATAGTGGATTTGAACTTTGCCACTACAATTGAATATTGTATTAATTTACTTGACAATATTTGCACTGAAAATCAAAATACAGATAAATACATGCATACATATAGACCAGGTTGCATCCAGGAAAAGTTAGATGAAATCAGTTCCCATTGAACTCAATTGATTTGATGCAAATAACCCTCTGTCTCTTTATGCGCTATACTAGGGGGAAAGCTACAGACTCTGCACCTGTTTCAATAATCACAGCTTATCAGTTACAACAATGGAAGATCTCATGTTTTACTTTGAGACACAAACACCAGATTTTACATTTGTACTGGGATTTTTTAATGGCTCCCTTTTGAAACTCCTATAATTGTAGACTGGAACAGAGAAGTGGTAAATTTATAATTTATTAATCAATGCATCCTCTTTCAATTAGAAAATGAAGGGGATTTTACCACTACAGGTACTGTTGCTATTGCAGCAAATATAAATTAGCATTCACAAATAAAATGTAGCTCTGATGAGCAAAGACAGTTCTAGGAATATGCAATCATGAAACTGTCAATATGTGCACTTTTCAGATATGCCCACAGAAAAACTGCAAGGAAACGTAGAGGAAATGGTACTTCAATCCATTCCCACTCTTCATATCATAGCATAAAAGAGTCAGCATCATTTAACCACAAATCCTTTGTGAAAAAGCTAATAGGAGAAAGTGAGACTACAAAGGAAAAGACTCTTACAGTGACACGGTGGGTGATGGCTCTTTGAAGGAGATCTGCTGAAATGTGCAGCAAATTGGCAATAATCTGGATTTCCGTTTCACTAGGGATGACAGCAAACTCAAAGGACTCTTTCTAGTGTGTCAAAAACAAAGAAAGATGAAGATAAATGTAGGAATGATTTTTACAGGCAACATTATCTTCTAGATAACCACACACTGTTGTCAACAGGAAAAGAATATTTCAAGGGTCATATTCGAAGTGGAGGGACAAGGAAGTGAAACAATTTTAAAAATGTATTGGGGCAGTGCATATGCAGTGCATCACTTTAAAAAAATAAAAACCAAATGGGAAAATTCCTCCTGAAAATGGGAGGTGACAGGAGGTAGCCACCAAGGGGAATTTTGTTTGCTTGGCTTTTGACTAGAAGAGAACAGCAAACAAAATTCTCCTTCGTTGTCATCTCCAGTCTCCTTTTGCTTCCTGGAGCAAGTTTTCCATTTGGCCTTTAGGATTCTTTTTTTTTAAGTGGTGAATTACATATGTGCTGCCCTAATACACTTATATATAGAATGTCCATATAGTCAGCCTCAGAGTTTGATCAACTTTAGAAAATAGCCTGGAGTTGGCTACAGCATCCCTTAGTGCGTGCGTGCGTGCGTGCGTGTGAATGAGAGAGAGAGAGAGAGAGAAAAGAATCTCAGGGACTCTCACAATTTGCACACCGCTGTAAAGCACATAGCCCTGAGGCTATTTCCACTTTGGCTGGCATTGCTAGTGTCACTGTGAAATTCATATAATCATTGAAAGGTGGAGCTGGAAGGGGCCTACAAGGCCATCAAGGCTAACCCCCTGCTCAATGCAGGGATACAATCAAAGCATATCTGCCAGGTGATTATCTAAGTTTTTCTTGAATGCCTCTAGTGTTGGAGCACTCACCAACTCCCAAGGTCACTGGTTCCACTGTCGTACTGCTCTAATAGTCCAGAGGTTTTTACTGAAATTCAACCAAAATCTGGCTTCCTTTAACTTGAGCCCATTGTTGCATGTCCTGCACTCTGGGATGACCGACAACAAATCTTGTCCCTCCTCTGTAGGACAGCCTTTCAAATATTTGAAAAGTACTATTATATCACCCCTCAGTCTTCTTTTCTCAAGGCTAAACATGTCCAACTTTTCAGCCTTTCTTCATAAGCCTCATTTCCAGCTCCCTGATCATCCTTGTTGCCCTCCTCTGAACTTATTCCAATTTGTTAGCATCCTTCTTGAATTGTGGTGTCCAGAACTGGACATAATACTCAAGGTGATGCCTAACCAGTGTTGAATAGAGACAGACTAGTACAACGTGGGATTTGGAAACTATACTTTTATTGTTGTTGTTTAGTCGTTTAGTCATGTCCGACTCTTCGTGACCCCATGGACCAGAGCACAGCCAGGCCCTCCTGCCTTCCACTGCCTCCCAGAGTTGTATCAAATTCATGTTGGTTGCTTTGATGACACTGTCCAACCATCCCATCCTCTGTCATCCCCTTCTCCTCTTGCCTTCACACTTCCCTAACATCAGGGTCTTTTCCAGGGAATCTTCTCTTCTCATGAGATGGCTAAAGTATTGGAGCCTCAGCTTCAGGATCAGCTTCTATTAATGCATCCTAAAAGAGCATTAGCCTTTTTTGTAGCCACATCACACTGTTGGCTCATATTTAGCTTGCAATCTAGGACAATTCCAAGATCCTTCTTGCTTGTAGTTTTGCTGAGTCAGGTATCCCCCATCTTGTAACTGTGCGACTGGTTTCTTTTTCTGAGGTGCTGTATTTTGCACTTCTCCCTGCTGAATTTCATACTGTTGATTTCGGTGCAGTGCTCCATCCTATCAAGGTCATTTTGAATTTTTTTTTCCTGTCTTCTAGGGTATTAGCTATTCTGCCTCATTCTGTATCATCTGCAAATCTGACAAACATTCCTTGCACTCTCTCTTCCAAGTCATTAATAAAAATACTGAAGAGCACCAGGCCCAGTGAGGTACCCCACTAGTTACCTTCTCCCAGTTAAAGAAGGACCCATTAATCATTATCCTCTGAGTACGATTCTGTAGCCAATTGTGTATCTATCTAGCCCACACCTAACAAGGATGCAATGCACTATACCTCGCAAGAAGTAAAGCAAATGTTTCCCAGCTGCAGAATGCCAGCAAGCACCCTCCAGATAGAGGTCAGCTGGTCATCAGAGAGGTCTATCATCTGGAGAGCCTTCATCAAGACGAGAAAGTCTAGATCATCTTGCTTTCCTGGAAGCTCACATACTCTGCCCTAGAGGAATCAGCACATTATTAGAAATGACTCTCAATCAAGCATACTATTCATTCTTGCCATCCTGGAACCCTTTTCTTCAACATTTAGTTTAGAAGAGACTCTTTAGATACTGTTAACTCCACTCCCACCATTGTCTATGTTGGGTGGATTGGTTAAAACGCTGTACTGCAGCTAAAACTGTGCTAA